AACGTATCTCGATTTATCAAGGGTTTATTATCGGTTTATTAGGACAGTAAAAATTTAAGAAAAATACCTTCGTTATAACGAACTCGTCAGGCTGAAAAAATCTGTCCGTTGTAACAAAAATCCATTATCACATTATAATAGATTTTATTAATATATATTCTATAATCCGCTATAGTGTAATAGCGGTTTTACTAGCAAGGTTATATACAATCCGTTATAATAGGTTTAGTGTTAGAAATATAAATACATATATAAAGTCGAGAATTTATGTGTAGTTTGATCCAAATTATGGATATATGAAAAACCCTCTAAATACATGCCTTCACATGGGCATAAGGCTACACAAAGTATTTTTCGTTTGCATTACACAGCATTCGAAATTTCGATCTGGCGGTCTGATATTAATAAACTAAATTTTCATGTAGCCAAAGTCTTCAATTTCTTGAAAAAGCATTTTGCTTGTTCAGATGATTTCAAGTTCTTTAATTAACTTTCGAATTAGTTAAATTTTAAGGCATTACAAAACTATGTTAAGCTTAAACTTATCGGTAATTTACCAGGTACAAGAATGACTTGTAACTGTAATAGCTATGTTGCCATTTTAAAATTCGAAAATCAGTTCCCGAATTAATACAAATTTCAATTGGTAAAATCGGCAAAAATGGGAATACCAATAGAATAATCTAGCTTATGTCAGAGATTGCTATCAATATGAAACTAGAAAAGACATTGCAAGAATGGACCCTTCACATTTTTATCGTAGACCTAACTGTATGTAACTTTAAAAAATTTATTTGTACATGGTGTCCACGCTAATTTGTAAACCTTTAGGTCCTGAAACTTCCAATTAGATGAGATGATAACTCAAACAATCAACGATCTATATTATGAAACATCAGAAACGTGTTCCGTCCACCGTGCGATAATATTTCGATAATCTTGCTATTTATAGCATTCGCTTAAACCAATTTAATGAATTATTTCTTAAGTTTGTTGTATATTGCGTATATTTCCAAATCTTCTTTGCGACCACTGTAGTATTAGGCATTATTATGTATTATTGATGGCCTAGTGCAATCTTCACGTAAAAAGTCATACCATCAGATTTCAGTCAGGTATTTACTAAAAAGTTATTCTAAAACCGATTTCTATTTAAAAAAAAAGCGATTTTTTATTATTTAAAAATAACAAACAATCAGTTTTAAAAAAACCTTCGCAAAAGTTATTCTATAATGTTAAAAAAGAGTTTCCAATTGAAGATCTTTTACCAAAAGAGAAATGATCTACGTTACACGAATTTGAAAATCCCTGACTGGATTTTGATTAACGTCATAAAAAAGTTAGAATTCTGTTCAAAATTGTTAACAATATGGAGGTATTATTTAATTAATATGATAATAAATGATGATGATATTGAAAATATAAACCCTCCTAAAATCTACTTATATCCTTATACCTTTTATTATGAATTCTAACTCTAACTCCTAACTTTAAACAAATAAGTTCATTAGTAGATAATGTGTTAATAGGCAAATCACAAGTCATCTAAACAAAATATTTTTTTTTTATATATAAATTTTACTATAAGTGCGAATGTGGAGCGCACCTATCTAAAACTTTTTTCTTATTAAGTAAATCACTTTTGGGCTTGTAACAAAAGTTGTAGAGCTCATCAAGAGGCATCTAATGATAGTAAGAACATTAAAATTAGCTTGGTGATTCTTGAGAAATCTTTAAAAAACTTCTTACTCACATATAAAATTTCTTTAAAAAAAATAAAGAAATTTTACAGTCGTACCTGGATTATATTCCCCCTTTTTTCCAGAGCAATTTTGGAGATATAACTAAGGTAGGGATATAACTCAATATATAAAATATATAAAAACATATAAAAAAGAGGAAATTTGTTTTGCTTAAATATGGGGATATAACCCAGTTGGGATATAACCCAGTGGGGATATAACTCAGGTATGACTGTATATGTGAGAAAGAAGTTTTTTAAAGATTTCTCAAGAACTACCAAGCAAATTTTAACGTTCTTACTACCATTAGATGCCTCTTGATGAGCTCTACAACTTTTGTTACAAGCCCAAAAGTGATTTACTTAGTAAGAAAAAGGTTTTATATAGGCGTGCTCCACATTCACACTTATAGTAAAATTTATATATAAAAAAAAAATTTTGTTTAGATGACTCGCGATTTGTCTATTAAATAAATTACAAATTTTACATTGATACTTTATTAGATTCAACCAGTCAGATTTCATAAAGGGTACCACCCAAAATGTATTCTATTTTTCCAAATTAGAAACGAGTAATTCTTGTATGTCTTTATATTTTACTTAAATAAGTATTGGTTTTTTTTTAATTACATTCATTAAAACAGTTAAAATAAATATCTTCATTTTTGTTTTAAAATAAAAAAAATCGAGTTTTCAAAATTTTTGAGTCGGCGGGTAATGCAAAACGAAAAATTATCTTTAAGAGGCCTAATACTTATAGATTTTACTCCCCCGAAATCCAATACTTTTAAATGCATGTTTGATTTTACCTCCCGAAGCGCAATACTTCTAAATGCACGTTTAATTTTACCTCCTAAAACGCAATACTTCAAAACGTTTGATTAAATTTTTGTTACGCATGGACCTGGTACAATGCATTTAGAGTCTGATTTATTTATTTTTCTATTTTTATTTTTTATTTTATTTTATTTTATTTTACTTTTTATCAATGCGAAAGTAGCTTAATCTGCTCTTTTTTTTGTTATTATTGTTACACTAAATAGGTTAATAAATTCTCAAGTTTAGAATTCTCAATACCAGTTTATTTAGAAGAGTGCATGCAATTAATGTTACTCGGATGTGCGTACGTACGTATGTGAAAATTATGTACAGCTTAAACTATCTTTTCTATATAGCTACAATCATCCACGTGTCTGAGGTTTTATGTTTTATTGGTTGTGTTATTCTATACTTTAATCACTCAATAGCCAATCAGATCTCATATCCGGTATAGTAAATCGAATGGTACTGTATATATTGAATAATCCGCATCCACGATAAAGTATAGGTCTTGTAAATATCCGCAATATCGAGGGAAATTTATTGTTTAAAATTTGGTTCTGACAAACTTATTCGTTATAATAAGGGATCCGGTTTAACGAGGTCCGTTATAACGAGGGTAGAGTGTATATATCAATATCAATTTATCTATGCATTAAAAATAATTAATTCTTTTGTTTAAAACGGTTAACGTTTTAAATAATCAGGATAGAAATGAAATTCTGCAAATTAGTGTTTCACAATTATGAAAGAACTATTTAACTATATAGCTGCGCTACGTTATCGCGCGCAAAACCAGGAACTGATGCCTAAAAAAAGAAAACAATTGATTATCAACTTTGACTGTTAGATAAAATGTAAGAATTTGCGTCTAACCGATTACTTTACCATTCACTGATTACTTTTTTATCAATCATGTGACACTTATATATGCTGATTTTTATTATCGATATGCGATATATCCTTCAAGTAATTATCTAAGTATACAATATTGGAAAATAACGATTCCAGTTTTCCATCGAAGTTGATGTCACTCCCATGTACAGCTACGATTGATAATAACCCTGATAAAAGAAATTTTCTGTCGTTCTACAGTGCATATCTATGAGCATAAATAGATTATTTTAGTCGATCTCTATTAGTTTTTCGTTTTGCATTACTCGCCGACCCAATTTTTCAAAAATTCATTTTTTTTAAATGACAATTTGCTTTAAAAATTAATACTTATTAATCCAAACATAAAGACGTACAAAAATCACTCGAGTCTAATTCAACATTTCTTTCTTAATGTGATTAGTAGTGACTGAGATATTGCTCAAATTATTGAATTCATTCAAGAAAGACTTGTTAAAATTTCATTGTGCAGATGCGGATTCTAATTTTAGTTAATCAGAGCAACTTTATAAAAATGGTTACTCATTTGCTTGATTTATTCAATTGCCGATTAATTAAAAATTTTCCTCAAACTATTGATAGAAATAACGAGATCACACTAACTCTAACCGGTTTTAACATAATTTCATTTTGATTTTCATTCTATTCACGATAACCAGATAACCCAATAACATGATAACTATCCCCAAAAATAGTGTTTTGTAAAATTTATTTAAGCAAAGTTAAAAACAACAGTTTTTGCACAAACTTTTTCATTCGAAATCAAATTAAAAATCATTCAAAAATAAACGTTAACCATGAAGAACCTACTTTTAATTTTAATTATTTTCACATTACAAAGTTATTTAATTGTTAATGCAAAATTTGTCAATCCACAAATTAACAATCCACAATATGGTGCATTGGCCAAATTTTGGGGTGTAACAAGCAGTGAAGTGCCTAAATTATTAAAAAATGAGAAACATTTAATTACGATTGACAATGAAATAAAACCGTTATTAAATGACTTGGATTTTGGAGGGACTTATATAGATGTAAAGACAAACAAAATATATATCAATACCGTAAATCAATATGAGGGCGAAAAAGTAAAAAAAATTAACTAAATATAAGGATGTTTTAGTATTTAGAAGCGCAGCCAATTCCTCATCTAAGTTAAGTATTTAACAGAATAATTAAATTGTCTGAGAAATTTAAAGCAATTAATGTCATTATTAGTATTGAGCCCAAAGTTGATAACGTTGTCATATCCTTAAATAAAAAGGATTTTCAAAAGAACAAAGTATTTCTTGATAATATTAAAATTTTTAATCCAAATATAACGATAGGCTCTTCAGAAGAAGAAAGGACATTTAATTCATCTATTTTGGCCAAAAGAATTATACACGACGTTGTACTTGGTGGAGATCGTCTTGAAATGGTTAGCAATGAAGGCGGAAATCAAACTTTTCATTTTGGAAGTGCAGGTTTTTGGCTGCGAGATCAAAATGGTCGAGATTATTTATTAACCGCTGGACATCTTGTTCTTGGAGAAAATATAACTTCTATGACTTTTTATCTTAAATCTGCTCAATTAAATAATTTAATTGGTCCAGTAGTTATTCATAATCTTATTCCATTCGACTATAGTTTAATATTGAAACAAAATGAAAATATTGCATTAACTTCGAATATAAGGGATACGGGTATTACCGACTACACAGAATTATTAATTAAGGGTTTTGTAGATATAAGAACTCCTGGGGCTCATGTATGTAAAACCGGTCATAATACGGGGACTACTTGTGGTGAAGTTACATCACGTAATACAGTAGAAAGAACTAGACATGGTATCGTTAGAGGGATTCTCAAATTATACTTATTTTGTGGTAGAGGTGATAGTGGTGGTTCTTTATTTCATTATAGGGAGGATGAGTTACCTTACGTGGATGCGGTCGGCATAATCACTGGTGGATTTCTTATTGAAGGTACTTCAGTAGCCATACCAATACGTATTCCTTTACAAAATCATGGAATGTTTCTTGTACATTACTAGATAGCATGAATCTTTTTTAAGTGTGGCTAGACAAATAGATAAATATTTATTACTTTATTGGCTTTAACCTTTAAGAGAATTGTGCTATTATTGCAGGACTATCGAGTAATTAATTGTTGGGCAATTAATTGCAATTTTTTGAACTCAATTAATTGATTGGTGGCACAGCCACAATGCGTCAATTAATTGCATGGGGGAACCCTAGCCATGGCGAAAACGAGGTGTCGGGTCATGTGATTTCCTAAGCATTCGATTGATATCTAAAAATTAAAACAATCGAAGACAACACATAAATAAAAGAAACAAACATATATTTTGGGTTAGGAAATTCCTATTTTATAGTAAAATTTTGCAAGAAATTTTTTTAATTTGAACGCAGAAGATGGTTTCATAGGCAAAATTTTGGATGAACCCAGCATAACCACCAAAATCATTTACAAACTGGTTTAAATTTCTTTTGACAATTATGAAATAATTTAATATAATTTTGTGATTATGAAAAAATTTATTAATAAAAGTTTTTTTAAAAAAAATTTTTTGTTCTATTTTTTTGTTTTTTTTTTCCTTTTAATGCTAAAAAAAATGTAATTTAATTATATCTCTCTACCTGATCTGAATTATTGTTTTTCATGTCATTCAGAAAAGCCAGCTGATTTATTTGAAAGTGATGAAAAAACTTATTTATGTTTAAATTGTTTAAATAGAGAAATAAAAGAAAGCATGAAGAAAAGGTATAGATGATATTAATAATATGCATAAGAAGGCTATTGAGCCAGAAAAAGTTGAAGATATTGTTTATCAAGAATCAATGGATCTTGAAGATGATGGGCAAGTAGATTTAAAAGTAGTTGTAAATATTTCTAGTATAATTAACAAGTTAAATAAGGATACTGGTGTTTTAGCAGTTGAAATAGTTAAGCTTTATAAAAATGGTGATGGATATTCTTATATCTACTATAAGAAAAGTTTTAATAAACAAATCAAGATTACTTTATTTACTTATTGGTGCAACTGTTATAATGAATTAGCAAAGAAATCAAAATACTGCAAAAGAATTTAAGCAATGTAATACTAAATCTCAATTATATCATTATAACTGCAAAGGCATAATTTCTATTAAAATTAATCAGCAAATTAAATTAGCTATAACAAAACTAAAATATTTATATTTATATTTACAACCACAACAAATTGGTGCTTCAAATAAATCAAAAAAATATTTAAGCAAATTTATCATTTTCTGCATCTAAATTATATAAGCAAATTACTATGAATCAAATAGATGACTATAAGTTTTTAATAGTTGAGTAAGTTTATTACTGGTAGGCCCAATATATTAGTATAAAAGATAAGCATGTAAACAATCAAGTTGAATTAGCCAAACTATTTTTAAGAAAAAAAATATGAAATTATTTTGATCTTGATAATTCAGTAATAGTATATGCTTTTATTACACCTTTTGTTAATATATTATCAAAAATAGTATTTAATAAAAACACTCATTAAGAGGAACTCTTTCCGTAAATCCTTTACACAAACTTAAATAAAATTCGTCCATCACAAAACTGCTAATATCTCAATAATTTA